AGAGGGCACTGGGTGGCAGTGCCAGGCAGGGAAGGGGGCCTCCTGACTGGGGGGGGGGGGGTGCTGCAGGAGCTCCTTCTCTCCTTGTGGGACGTCTGTCCCGTCCCAGACCCAGGTCCTCAGTGGCTCTCGATGTTCAGTCAGTGGATCACCAGTCACACAGGCAGGGACTGTTGGATGACCCCAGACAACAGGGGGGCCCTGGGTGGTGTGGGAGAAGATAGAAGACCTAAGGCTTCGGGGAGGAGGGTCTGGGCTAGGCACACAGTCCCCAGGGCCTCAGGCTATCTTTCGGCTGAGGCCCGAGAAAGTTCCACTGGGACCTGTCCTAGCCTTCTGGCAGAGACTCCCAGTGGAGGTCTCTGGGCACCCCTGGTCTCACCTTACAGATGACGGAACTAAGTCTCAGAGAGGCTGAGCAACTTGCCCCACGTCACACAGCTGGGAAGTAATGAAGTCAGAGTTCTTTGTCCCAGTATCAGGAAGGAAGAAGCATCTCTGTGAATCCTACACAGATATGTCTTTACCTAACACCCCGCCCCCTCCAGCTCCACTGGAGAACCCGATTCAAATCGTGTTAGAAACTGTGGGCAGAACAAATAAATGAAGAACAGATAGGGTGCAATGAAGGAAATCTGTGGCATGAGGTGCCTCCTGCACCTGCCAAGCAGAGGATGGAGCCCCTCTCTCCCGAATGGCCTCTAAGCCAGGCTGCAGGGGACCAGGACGGTGGGGGCTGTGGGGAAAGCAACCGGGTGGTTCCCACCTGAGGCCCTAGGTGGCATGACCCTCCCACAGGCTTCCCAGGCTCTGCCCTCACCCTCTGGCCAGGGCAAGCCGGGGTGGGGGCAGCGGAGAGGGCTCTGCCAAACCCCAGCTCCTGCCCCCCCTCAGCCAAGGCGGTGAGCTCTGTGTGAGGCCGGCTCTTGGGACTTAATGAAAAATTCACCAAGTTCAGGGGATTGTAAAGCGCTGAATGAGCAGGTGCTACTAGCCCTGGGTGGGGGCCTGCCCAGCACCACACGGCCCAGGGAAGGGCAAGGCTTGTGTGGCCAGCCCCCACCATGCCCAGGGGTTGTCTGTCTTTGCCACTGGGTCCAAACTTCCCATGGGGTCCTTGAGACCGAGATGCCATCTCCACCTGCGTGACTCTGGAGAAATGTCCAGCAAGTTCAGGAATGCGGTGTGTGTGTGTGGGGTGGGTGGTGGTGGTGGAGGGGAGTAGGGAATGGGTGGGGGTGCCCAGGCCAGAGTCCCCACCTAGGAGCACCCACTCCAGGCAGGGTTGGGGGCCCTGGCCAGCACATGTAGGCTGCTTGGCCAATGAGCTGCTTGGCCAGTGAGGCTGCTCCCTCGACGATCTCCAGGTTTCTTCAAGCTGAGGCATGTGGAGCAGCTGAAGAATCTGTCCTAGGATGTGGGTGTGTAAGAGGGAAACTGAGGCAGGAAAGGGCCCAGCTTTAGTATCCCCAAGCTGAGTGGGGCAGAATCCTGACTCCCTGCCGGGAAGGATCTACTGGGAGGGGGAGCAAACGGGGTCCTTTGCAGCTGTTGAAGGCATACTGGTGAGCCCAAGCCAGCTCCCCACAATCCCATACCTGCCCTTGGCCCCGAAGGGGTTCAGAGCAAGTCTCCCCAAAATATGCCACTTTGGCATGTGGACTATCTGGGGTGAGGGCAGTCAGGATGCAGCAGACTCAGGAGAAACTTCTGCCCCTCCCCTAACTATCCAGAAGGATGTAAATTGTGGGTCCTTCCCAGAATCGGATTTATTACGAGATGGATTTTAGCCAAGTGACCCATCTGTGGGGCAGGGCAAACATCTCATTACCAGACATTGCCCTGTGGATGGTGGTCCTCCACTTGGAGGCCCCAGACCCCTATCCGTTCCTTAGCTCAAGATGGCACATGTGCCTCAGTTTACCTTTGCTGTCTTTGAACCTCTCTCTGTATGTGGGGTTCCAGTAGGCCTGAAGTTAAATTTGATTTGTTGCTGTTAATCTGTCTCATGTCAGTGTGATTCTTAGACCCGCCAGAAGAAACTCAGCAGGGCAAATAAAAGATTTTCCTCCCCGTCAGCCCTATATCCAGCATTACCAGGGAAGCTTGTCCCCTGGGTGGGCCAGATCTCCCTTTACCCGGTGTACTTCACCTGAGAAGCGATTAAAGGAAGTCTGTTCAGGACTTCCCAGGCTTGTACTGAAAACGCAGCCAGTCTTGGGGGTGGGTGTGCCTGGCCCTCAGGGGACCTGGCTCCCACCCTCAAAGGACTTGATTTGAAAAGAAGCAACAGGCAGTTTGTACCACTTGGTCTATGACTGCTTTGGGGAGGTCCACACACGGGGCTTCCAGGGCGGGGTCCGGGGAGCCTCCAATCGGCCCGGTTACAGAGACAGGCTGAGACCTTGGCACAGAGAGGGCCAGCACCCGCCCTGACGTCACACAGCCACCCAGCTGGGCTCCCCCACGGGCAGCCTGGAGCTCCGGACCTGGGACAGCGGCCTGCGCTGGCCCTTCCCCGCTGGCCGCCGCTGGCCGCCCCGCTTAGGACCAGGGGAAGGGGTGGCCGGCCCGGCCCGTCGGGGGCCTCGGGGCACCGCCTCCCGGGCCTGGGTTCCAGACGCGAGTCCTCGGAGGACAGGGACGGCGGCGTCCGGGCGCCCTCCGGTGGCCGCCGCGCGCGGAAGCCGGCAGCCCGGAGTCCCCCGGCCTGCAGCCGGGCGAGGACGACAGCGGCCGGGGACGCCCGCGCGAGGGCGTCCGGGCCTCGCGGTCGCGTTGCCTTTTTAAAAGCACGTTTGCGCTAAAACCGAATTTCTGTAAAATCGGTGACATCGATAGGGCCTCCCGGGTCTGTAAAACGCGAGCGAAGCGCTCCCGGCGCCCTAGCGCGTGCGGAGGAGCGAGCGCGGGCAGCCGCGGCGAGCGGAAACGCCGGCTATTGTGGCGGCGGCGCTGGGCGGCTCGGGGCCCACCCGGCGGGGCGGGGAGCCCGCCCACCGGCCCGAGGTCCCGCCCATCCGGCCGCCGAGGCCCCGCCCCACCCCTTTGTCCGCCGCCGCCGGCCGTCTCCTCAGCTGAGAACCCGTAGCTACGTCGTCACCCCACGCAGCCCGGACCCCAGCCCTGGGGCGCGAAGTCGCGAGGGGTCGCCGCCGGCGCCATGGGGAGACAGGTTGCTGGAGAAATCCCGGGCCCTTCCCCGTTTTAAAAATCGCCCGCATTTGCGGAGCGCAGCCAGAGGCGCCGAGTGCGGCCTGTGAGACCCGAGCCGAGGGCAGTTTGCGGCCGGCGCCGCGGCTCGGGACTGCGCCCCGCTCCTGCGTGCCGGCCCTGCGCGCTGCGGGGCGGCTGCGCTCCGCCCTTCCCGCCGGCGGGAGCAGAGCAGGAGGGGGCGGCGCCGCAGGGGGGCTCCCAAGGATAGGGACGCGGGCGCGGCGAGCGGGGCAGACCAGCGGCTCCCACGCGGAGGGGGCGGCCCACGCAGCCGGGCGAGACGAGGAGCCACCAGGGCCGCGGACCGCGCTCTCGGACCTGCGCGTGATGGAGGGTGGGTGGGGAGGAGGTGGCCGAGCAGAGGACTGGCAGGACGGGGGTGGAGGGTGGGTCCTGAGCCTGGCAGGTGCCCAGGGGCTTTCCTGGGCGTGGAGGAACGACCTGGAGGAGCTGAGGCTGCGCCTTGTGTGTCGGTTGGAGAGAAGGTTGGCCAGGTGGGGATGAGGTTGAAGAGTGTCTGAGGGCTGGCGGAGTCCGAGAGAGTAGAAAGGGCACCTGTGAAGTGGCCCCTCAGGACAGGTTGGAGAATGGGTGAAATGGGTAGTAGAGCTTACTGCTTGTAAAAATGGCAGTTTACCGCATACCTGCAAACTACATCACCAGCCCTTGTTGGCCCAGGAAGGCTCCTTTTCTCAGGCTCCTGCCTGAGATGTACTCACCGGCGGTGACGGTCCTGTCCCCGGGGAGGCTCCCAGTGGGAGCTCACCAAGCCTTCCGTCCTCAGCTACTTTGAAAACCCAGCAACGTTGTGTCCTGTGGCTGTGGAAACTGCCTTTAGAATGTCACATCCCGGGACTCTCAAACACCTGGGTCCTGATAACAACTTCCTGCTCTGCCGGGGGTCCCTTGCTACGGGGACTGCGGGCTGTTGCACTGATCCCTCACACCCTTAATCTGTGGTACTTGAACCCCTTGAAAGGTGCCTGGGCCCTACAGGGAGGTGGCCAGCAATCAAAACCAGCCCTGGGGACCTTCAGTGGAAGTTATTGGAGGGACTGAGGAGCTGCGGATGGGTGGCGAGAGCACTGCGCTAAAAGCTAATGTCCCTGCGTCTCTGCTCTACTTGCTCCTGGGGGAGCTCTCACGGCCCAGCCGGGGTCTGGGCTCTGCAGCCCAGCTGGCCAGAGAGAGAGAAAAGATAGTGGACCCCTTCAGTTTCAAAAGTGGGAAGACAGACCCTGCCACCCGTGGGACTCACGCAGTGGGGATCGCTCCCAAATAGGAAGGCGGTGTGGACGCTGGACAGCCCCCCAAGTATCTGATACTTAGGGCCATGGAGGGTCTTCAACAGGAGCAGCAAGACTGCAGAGGCTTCTAAAAGCCCCCCCTGCCTTGGCTGGGTGTGATGTCGTGGGAAGGGGCTAGCATCACAGGCAACGCTGTTTGGGCTGCCAGGTATGAGGGAAGAAGCGATGGGGGGCTAAGGGCATCCTGAGGGGAGAAGGGGCAAGCCACTTGGGACCTAGTAGCCCAGGAAGGGGTTCAGTCAGGTCAGGGCTGCCCCTCCTTGAAGCATCTGGGGCACTGGCAGGGACTCAGATGCTGGCAACAGGTTTTGTTTGCTTAATTTCCCTTGTGTCTTAGAAACCTAAAAAAATACACAGAAAGGGTGTGTAAAAGGAAAGGCCTCCCTCACCCTTCCCCCAACCCTCCCTCCTGGAGTGAGTGTCCTGACCAGCCCCACCCCCATCCATTTTCAAACTTCTACATTAAGTAAAGGCCAGTTTTGGGTTTCCTTTTTTTTTTAAGTTCAATTAATTAACAATATAGTGTATTATTAGTTTTAGAGGTAGAGTTCAGTGATTCATCAGTTGCATACAACACCCAGTGCTCATTCCATCACGTGCCCTCCTCCTTCATGCCCACCACCTAGTCACCCCATCCCCCCCCCACCTCCCCTCCAGCAAGCCTGTTTCTTTCCTATGCTTAAAAAGTCTCTTACGGTTTTTCTCCCTCTCCGGTTTCATCTTGTTTTATTCTTCCCAGGTTTTTTTTTTTTTGTTTTTTACTAACGAGAATCATGCTGTATGTATTGTCCATGTGCTTTTTGGAGATGTTCTCAGCCTAGCACACTCCTTTTATCCATTTTATATTCCACAGAAATAGATGTTTGGGTTGCTTCATTCTGCTGTTATAATTATTCCCACTTTTGTGCACAAACTTGGGCACAGGGGCTGAAATTTGAGGGGAACAGTGTCAATTTGAGCCCTTGGCAATCTGAGGTGAAGGCATGTTGACTTGGCATTTAGCAGGTGGCAGGCCGTGCACGCTGACTTGGGCAGGAGGGCGGGTGGACCGTGAATTTGGGACCCACAGGCCGATGGCATCGTGTGTGACAGGGACATGGCTGGTTTTGCTCTTAATTTTTGTTTTTCTGGGAAACTTGATCTCTCCCTCTATTCTAAATGAAAGCCTTGCTGGATAGAATATTCTTGGCTGTAGATTTTTTCCTTTTAGCAGTTGGAATTTATCATGCTGTTTCCTTCTGGCCTGCAGAGTTTCTGCTGAAAAACCCACTGATAGCCGTATGGGGTTTCCCTTGTATGTACCTGCTTTCCTTTCTCTTGCTGCTTTTAAAATTCTCTCTTTATCACTACTTTTGGCCATCTTATTTACTTTGTGTCTTGGCGCAGACCTCTTTGGGTTGGTTGTGCTGGGGGCTCTCTGTGCCTCCTGGATCTGGATTTCTCGTTCCTTCCCCAGATTCAGGAAGTTTTCAGCTATTATTTCTTCAGACAAATCTTCTGCACCCTTTCCTTGCTCTTCTCCTTCTGGGATCCCTATCATGCAACTGTTATGCCTGACAGTGTTGCTGAGTTCCCTGGGTCTATTTTCATTTTGCTTATTTTTCCCCCCTCTCATCTGCTCAGCTTGATTGCTTTCCATGACTCTGTCCCCCAGGTGGCTGATCCTTTCTTCTACTTCCTCTTGCTTGCTATTTATTCCAGATGCTCTATTTTTATTTCCATTTAGTGAGTCCAATAGCTCTAATTGGTTCTTTTTTACGTCTGCTAGCTCTCGGTGGAGGGTCTCATGGAGGTCCTGCAGTCCTTCCTCAATTCTAGCGAGCATCTTTATGAGTGTTACTTTAAACTCACTATCAGACATATTACTTATCTCCGTTTCGCTTAGGTCTCCTACTCTGATTTTGTCCTGTTCTTTGATTTGGGATATATTCCTGTGTCTCCTCATTCTGTCTCTTGCGTTGTCTGTTTCTCTGTGTTAGGAAAGTCAGCTCCGTCTCCTGCACTTGAAAGTAGTGGCTTTATGAAGAGGTCCTGCAGTACAATGTCTGTTCCCCAGAACCTGGTGCTTCCGGGGGTGTCTCCTATGTGTGTTGCCCCAGGGGTGTCCTCCCTTTGTGGCTGGGATGTGTTTGCCTTCAGTCCTGTTGTCTGCGATGGCTCCCTGCCTGTTGTGGGCAGAGTCTGGTGCCCGTGGTGTTAGTGGGCTGCTCCGGGGCTGCCTTGGGCTGGAGTTGAGTCAGACCAGGCGTTTGCCGGAGATGCAGTAGCACCAAACTGCAGGCCCTGTCCCTGTGCCGTCCCCGGAGAAGCTTCTGTTCGTGGCTGGGGCCTGCAGTCAGAGCAGGGGCCTGCCCTCAGCCCACTGCTGGGGTCACAGTCAGACGGGTGTGTGCTTATCTTCCCCTCTCCCTGGGGCAGGACTCACTTTGGAGTGGTGCTGACTTGTCTGGGCCACGCACACACTGCCAGGCTTGTGGCACTGCTTTGACGGGATCTTGCCAAGAGCGATCGGAGGGGATGGATCTGCAAAGCACACGGGGGGCGGAGAGGGTTAGCAAGGTTTTGCGAGCTGGTGGTGGTTCCCTGCAGAAGGGGGCTGCAACACCAGGACAGACGCAGGCCAGGCGGGAGGGTTCATAGAAGCACAGCGGGTGGTGGGTGGGGGTGGGTTAGGTGGTGCAAGCAAGTTAGGTGGAGGATCAAGGTTAGCAAGGTTTGCGGGCTGATGGTTCCCTGTGGGAGGGGCCCTGAAGCACCGGGACTGAGGCAGGCCAGGCCGGAGAGGTGACTCCACAGAAGCAGGGGGGGTTGTTAGGTGGAGAGTATCCACGCTGGTTCCCGCAGGCAGGTTGCTGGGGATCTAGGCTGGGGGGCGGGGAGGGAAGCGCCTGCAAGCGCTTGTCCCTGGAGGAGTCCCCACCGACCTCTGTCCCTCCGGGACACAAGTTGAGATGAATCAACAACTCTCCCATATACCCCAGGCATTTTTCAAACTGTTGGTTCTACCCAGCATCTCACGGGCTGTTTGCTCTGCTGTCCTTTTAGGGTAAGGCCTCGGCTTCCTCTCTCCGCGAGCCAAGCTGCTAATTTTTAAAAGCCCAGGTGTTAAGTTCCGCTGGTTGTAAGAACTCAGGAAATTCGGCCCCTCTGGATTTCCCAGCCGAATGCTCTGGGGGGTCTATCCTGCCCCTGGGCTCCCCTGATGTGCGGGTCCGGGGCCTCCCTCCCGCCCGCCTCGCGGGCCGCCTCTCGGCCGGGTCCTACCTGCTTCGCTGTGGCTGCTTGTCTGTGCCGGGCTGCGGAGAGTCTGTTCTGCCAGTTTTCGGGCTGCTTTCTGGGTTATTTATGCCGACGTGGGTGCTCTCTAGGCGGCCACGCGACAAGAGGTCAGCCCAGGGGCACCCTACCCCGCTATCTTCCCAGCAGCCTCTGCTCCCGGCCGGAGGGCGGGGCCTGCGCAGGCGCGGCCGCTAAATGGCGCCCAAGCCAGTAAGATGAGGCCCCGTGGCTGCCGAGGAGGGCTTCCGGCCCCGACCCTGAGCTACTTCCTAGAAGCCATCCGGGACTCTCCCAAGCCTGACTGTCTCGGTAAACACCTGGGAGGTTGTGCGAAGGGAGCGGGGCGCCCACGATGGGTCCACAGGCGGTGCCAGGCTGCAGCCCAGGGGCGGGGGCGCTGCCTTGTGATTCACAGCAGTTCGGGGAGCACTTGGCGGGCGCGGGCGGGGGGACTGCAGCAAGGGCGCCGGCGCTCCCCCTTGCAGGGGACGTACAGGCCAGACGGCTGTGGGGGCGGGGGGGGGTCTCTGCTGGGCACTGAGGTGCGGAGTGGCTCTAGGATAGCCCCTGCCCAGGGGCCTGCCGTCGGGTAGAGGAAGTAGACACTGGACGGACCCCAATATGTTCTGGGCACCGCTCTACTGGTCACTCCCCGATCAAACTGGGTGACATGAGGGAGGTGTGCTGAAGCCCCCGCAGCCCATGTCCAGGGGAGGGAGGGTGTGGCCCTTATCCCCTCTATCCAGGAAAGCTGTAGGATTCCGGAACTATCCTCAACCCCTCTGTCCCCAAGTTCAGCGCCCCCGCCGCTAGGTCGCCCGCCCACAGCAGCGCCACGGTCTCCCCAGCGGCAGAAGCTGTCCCCGGCTCCCAGGGCTGGGGTTCTGGCCTGATTTGGTTAAATAATGAAGTTGCAGAGAACCATGAGCCCCCAGACCAAGTTCCTAGCACAGTGTAGGTGCTCCAAGAGCACTGTGGAGGAGGAAGAACGGACAAGAGACAAGCTGCGGTCGAGTGATCTCCCATAGATCTCCCATAGATGGCTGCACCATCTCATGGGTGAGCACCCTCCACCCCCGGGCGACATGCACACCCTGCGTGGGGCTGGGCTCCGTTGCCTCCCCTGGGATCTGGAGTCTGGAACTACTATCGAAACCGTGTTCCGTGGTGGTCGTGCTCCCAGTGCCCCTGGCATGCTCGCTCTTGGGACACCCCCTGGATCCCTGAGCACCATGGAGAAGTCCACCTGCTGCAACCCAAATTGCAGATTTGTTAACAGGCACATTTTTGAGGTCATTCTGGGCTTGGTGGTGCCTCATGGCATCAGATAATGAAACACAAAGCCCAAAGCTGGGGATGAACCACTATCCCAATTTGCCTGGGCTTGAGGTTTGCAGACTTTCAGTGCTGACACTGAGAGCGCCCCAGTCCTGCTGAGGGGAAGCAGTGGTTCCCCAACTTCTGAGTCCATCAGAGACACATGGGCACTTAATGAAAACACAGAGGGCTGGCTCTACCCCTGGAGTTCCCAGTTCAGTGGGTCTAGTGTGGAGTCCAATCACTGGCACTTCTAACTAGGTCCTGGGTGCTACTTGCTCCTGGTTGGGAGCCCAAACTTCCAGAACAACTGGCCTGAGCGAAAGGGTGTTTGGGACCTGCGAATCCCAGTTTAGTGGGTGTCCCAGTACTCCATTCTGTCTGGTCCAGCGGTGTGGATACAGAGGTCAAGCTCCTCCAGCTGTCCACCAGTAGAAACCCAGAGCCCGCTGGCACGGTGGCTGGTTGCTGTGGAAACAAGGCTAAGCCCAGAAGTGCCCAGGCTCCTTGGCACCTGCTTCCCGGAGGGAACCCAGCCCCTGGGGAGGAGTGGACAAACAAAGGGAGCAGGGATGGGGCGCCTGGGTGGCTCGGTCGTTAAGCATCTGCCTTCGGCTCGGGTCATGGTCCCAGGGTCCTGGGATCGAGCCCCGCATTGGGCTCCCTGCTCTGCGGGAAGCCTGCTTCTCCCTCTCCCACTCCCCCTGCTTGTGTTCCCTCTCTCGCCGTCTGTCAAATAAATAAAATCTTTAAAAAAAAACCAAAGGAGCAGGGATCAGCACCCCCCTGCCCGCCCCAGAGAGCAACCCAGAGCAACCTCAGGACCGAGTCTTCTGGAAAGGAAATCACTCAGCTCCCACGGTCCCTGGCTTGAGTTCCAGAGCTAGAAGGGAGCTTTGCAATCGTTGGGCCGACCTCTTTTCCCCGGGGACGAGGCAGCCATGAGCTGACATGGCTTGCTGAGAACACTCACTGAGAACGGACAGTTGGAAGAAGCTTCTCCCCTTCCAGCCACCTCCCCACGACTCCTCCCTCCAGCCAAGAATGCCCACAGCTCCTAACTCCACTCTGCCCCACAGCTGGGAGCCCTCCACCTTCGTGGGTCCTCTACCTCCTGGATGTCTGAAGTCCACATCCGCACTGGCCGCCATGAACCGCAAGCCTGAGCGGAACGAAGGTGGAGAGTGGCTGCCTTATGTTAGGACACTGAGCAGAAGCGCACCCAAACCCCAGGGTTAAAATTGCAGATTCCTGGACCCACCCCTGAGACTGAGTCAGTAGGTTTGGGATGGGGCCCTGACACTTTCAACAAGAGCCCTAGGTAACAACACCCCAGCATCATCTGCCACAGCCAGCCACCCGGGAAGAAGTGAGGAAGTGACAGAAAGGAAGCGGGGTGATTGATTCAGCTCTAAAACCTGACAATGCACCAGGCAGAGCGAGGATGTCCCTGGGGCTCACAGACAATGGGAGGGGAGGCCTGGAGTGAGTTCGCTCGTCTCTCATGGCTCATTTCTCCCATCCAGCCGGAACCAGTTACTCTCAGGCAGTGTTGACTCACTCCCACCCAAATTCAGGAACCCTGGGGAGGGCTGACTGGGTCGGGTACGGAAATCAGGTGAGTGAGGCCTACATGGGTCCCCACAGCCCAGGCCTGGGTCGGCACCACTCAGGGCCCGAGGGAGGGTGTGGTCAAGAAGGGGTGGGTTGGGGGAAGACTGCACCAGATTTTTCGTTCCAGGCTGTGGAGGCTTCTCCCAACCACTGAGCCTCTGGGCAGGACACCTGGTGTGGTAGCCAGCATCCAAGATGGCGCCATGATTCTTGTGTCCTGGTCTTCATGTCCCTGTGTCGTCCCTTCCACATTGAATGGGACTGACTTGTGTAACTGATAGTAAATGGCATAAGTAATGGAGTCAGGCAGGCACCCCCAAGATAGATATTTTAATGGTATTTTAAAAATAAAAATTTGAAAAAATAAAAATAAAAATTCGGGGCACCTGGGTGGCTCAGTCGTTAAGCATCTGCCTTCGGCTCAGGTCATGATCCCGGGATCCTGGGATCGAGCCCCGCATCGGGCTCCCTGCTCAGCGGGAAGCCTGCTTCTCCCTCTCCCACTCCCCCTGCTGTCTCTCTGTCAAATAATAAAAAATAAAAATTCATGCCAAATATGAACAAAACATCAATTTTAAAGCCTTCACAAGCTTTAGCTGAATGGTACTGGAGCCTGAAACAGAAGGAAAGATCAGTGACCACAGTCCCACCAGCAGGTGCAGGAGCCCGCCGGGAGCGCGGGAGCCCTGGGCCCGGGGCTGAGCATCTAGTGACACTCATCCCCCTAATAGGCACCTGGATAGAAGCAGGCACGTGTCATCGTCTGGCTCCAGGAGAAAGGCGGCAGTCCGTCAGGACAGGACACGGGTGCTGTGCTGGAGTGACCACGAAGCCCGCCTCCTTCCAGCCACCTACAGACCCACACCCACCGTCTGATACAGACGCTGAGCGAGCAGCGCAGGTGTGGAAACAGTCTGCAAGGGCCCCAGCCGAGCACCTTCGTGTGTCCACGTCACCCCCAGACAGCTTCTGAGGTGTGCTCTGTGAGCCTGGACAGGGAAGCAGAGTTACAGGGCAAGTCTGTGCAGACACATGAGGGGCGGAGCGGGGCTTTGCCTGCAGGCCATGTGGCTCTGCCGCCTGCGGAGCTGCATCTCCGCTCTGCCAAGTGCGCGCTGTCTACACTGGGTAACTTACTTACCTCCCTAGGGCACACGGCGTGTTTAGGGCACTCAGCGCCTTGGTTGGCACAGAAACGCCGGGCCCTGGCCATCATTCCTCTGTCAGGTGGAAATGAACTTCAGACGGTAGCTTCCACTCGCAGTGTCCACCGGTCTCGTTCTCTGCTTCTTGGCTCTGCTGCGGACCTGGATACCCGCCCCTCCCCCGGCAGGGACCGCTTGGCCTCTCCCGCAGGTGTCCCCACGCCTCCACCCTCGCACCAGGCAGGAGTGCGGCTGGCCAGGGCCGGTGGGGCAGGTGGACGACCAAGGCAGGAGCCAGAAGTCCCCTGGCGTGGGTGAGCCCCGAGGGCCTCCGTCCAGCTTGCTCGCAGGCTCCGGCCCTGGCCCTTGAGACTTCCTGAGCAGATACACTTGAGCGCAGACACCTGGCCCAGCAGCAGGCTGCCACCTGGTTGGATCCCCAGGCCTCAGAGTGGGGATGAGGAGCAGGTGACAGGGGCGGGCTGGGGCGCCACTGGGAGCCGGGCTGGAGCCTCTCAGGAGGCTCCGCTCTCCTGCCCCACCCCCTCCCCAGACGCATGGGCCTAGCAGCTCTGTGGGCTCAGGCTGAGGACCCCGTGGTGTGGCTGGTGTGCAGGCAATGCTGGCCCGACTCTCCCGGAGCCTAAGTCTTCTAAGTCTTCTTGATTTGCTCCCTCCTCTACTGGCCGAAGCCTTCTCCCTTCCTGGGAAGGGGGTGTGGAGGAGGGCACCGCAGGAGCCCCGGAGGAAAAGGGCAGCCCTGGGGGGGTCCAGCCCCAGGGGGGAGGCCGGCAAGAGCCAGGAGGGCTCCCATGTCTGGGGGCTCTGGGGGCGGCCTTGCAAGCCAGGGCCTCAGTGGAGGGGAACAGAGGCAGTGGAAGAAAGGCCCCGAAGGGCAACTGATGAATTCCGGGCCATGTCCCTGCAGCCAGTGCGGAGCAGGGAGGCAGGTGGAGCCCGGTGTGGGTGAGTGCAGTAACTAGCTCTGCTCTAACGGTCTGGTATCTATCTAGAACCCTCTGCGGATCCACAGGGTTTTCAGCGTGCAGGGATGAGGGACTAGGAGAC